ATTATTATCATTATCATTATTATCATCATTATTATCATTATTATCATTCTTATTATCATTATTATTATCATTATTATTATTATTATTATTATCATTACTATTCTTATCATTATTATTATTATTATCATTATTATTATTATTATGTGTGAGTGAAATTCAAAAGAGCTTTGGTTCCAAACAGATGGTCAAAATGTGACTAAAGTGCAATGAAATGTTTTGCCAAAATATCAAAGGTGAGAACCAAAAACAAACTAAATTGGATAGAAAACGGTAAAACGTCCCATTAAAAAATAATTTCTTATAAAACCTTCACAATAAAAAGTGACAAAGTTGACCAGAAAAAATAAAACAGTTTAAACAAAAAAGGTTCATGAGAAAACCTCTGGGTTCAAATCTTTTAAATGCGTTGTAGTTGTTTGTACCGTGAAGGAATAAATGTGTAAAACTGATGAGACCCACCCCAGGTGTACTCTTTGCTGCTCCCAATGTGGGTGACCCGACACAGCACCTTGTCGCCCTGCGCCGGGGTGAAGGGGGCGCTCTTGGTCAGGTGGAAGTGCCAGTCCTGCTTGAAGGCCAGGTCTGTCTGGGTGGAGTCCGGCAGCACCTCCCCGTTCTTCAGCAGCTCGATGTTGATGTCGGGGGGGTGGAAGTTGCTGACGTGGCAGATAAAGGTGTTGGCTTGTCCAAACTGTCCGGGGTCACGGCTGTACACCACCACCTTCGGTGCAGCTGAACAAACAAACGGTGGAAATTCAACTTCACTTGACAGAATTATGTTGCTCAAGTCGTGTCCAACGTTTCAACAACAACATCCTACCTGCTGCAGATGGCTCCAACAACAACCCGGTTAGAAATATGTACTTAGCTTAGTGCGGGCAGTGGTTGACCAGGGGGTTGATCATCAACATACATACATGTTAGGAGGATGTTTGAGTGCAGCGCTACATCTGTAGCATGTTCTCTCAGCAGTAACTGAGACGCTGCAGGTGGAAGAGACGCTGTGTGTTCAGGTGCATTAAAGTTGAAACGTCTCTAAACCCCCACACCTTATTGTCCTCGAGCTTCATGACAAACATCATTTACATGACGAGTGTTGAACACAAGTTAAAAAGTCCAGTGGTGATGGTTTTTATTTCTCTATAAAGACGAACAGTGTCGACCGGACGCTCTGTGTTAAAGTGTATTAAAGTTAAAATGTCTCTAAATCCAACAGATGAATTTACATAAAACTTGGTGAGAAACAAGTTTTAAATGTGTGGAATTAAAGGAGATCCAGGAGAAATGTTGCTTCTTTTTTTTTCCATTAGTGAACACCTTTTTTTACTTGCGCACACACGTGCACGTGCACACACACCTACACACATCATTGTGTCCCCCCCACATTACAGATGCTTCTGA